TCGATTCTTCTTCTGTTTATTTGGTTAAATTTACGTCTACTTAGTGTCGTAATATTTAACATTAAATCATCCATTTGTAACGTAATGAGTTCTGATAATGAATGAACCTGACGTCAGACTGGGATACGACAAAAGGACAGGAAAGCTAGGGTCGACTGCACATTATGTGGCTAAAATACATTAATTACAAAGCAAGATACGTGTACCAAAATTCATACTAATGTAATGTAATGTAATCAATCAATTGACATATAGTTTAAACTTGAAAATGCACAAATTCGTGCAACGTACGCCATGCATTATTATGACTTTGTATTATACAGACCACGCTTAGGAACATCAACAGAGCAACAGTTTTGGAACATGTTCAATTCAAGTTTTCATAAATATTAAAGTAAAAGTAAACAGCCGACACTTCAGAACAGGAACTGGTAAATGAAGAGAAGATGGTAACTGGTATCCATAAATTCACATAAAAATAAAGTTAAAAGAAGCGGAGTAAAGCAGAACAAATTAACAAAGGTTGATACCTCAAATGAAAACAAATACCACCTAATTAGTCATGTTACAATATGTTTTCTATAATAGACTTTATTCGCAGATTTTCAAAGTTGTGAGATCAAAGCACCGGTAAATGCCATCGATTTTCACTCTGCTTCGATAACGTTATCGTTCTCAAGTACGAATTACTTTTTCCAGACCTCATTACTATGGCGTGATTATCGGAATGAATATGAAAGATAATAATCGATTTAAACGACGTAATAACGACGTCAAATGATCTGATTATTGCTACCAATTAATTTTATATTATTGTGTAAATAAATTACACAATAATATACATGTATACTTTGTCTAATGGGCAATTATAAACTGTTAATTTTAATTACCTTTGTTTAACGCGTTAAAATTTGCTAAAAATAAGTTGATAGAGTGGACAATTTCCTTCTGAATACAAATAGAGCAAAGATTTTATCGTCAATCTCGTTTTTTGCGCAATTTGATTCAAAGGAAGTTCGACTTATATAAGGCACGTGTACGGAAATTATTATACGATTGAATGACTTGGCCAATGCTTTATGATTGCTATTAGATAATTAGTCAGTTGCATTTATGTATATATGCACGTTTTTCAAAATGATTAAGTTGTTGATTGTTACTAAATAAAATGATTTCTAAATTAACCCCTGTTTATTGTCTATATTTTAATATATACAATGGTTCTTTTTAGACTTTTTAAACACCAGATACTTTATATCTAAAAATATATGAACAAAATAAAAGAGAGGAGGGTAAACATGAAGAGAATTTATTACATGAAAACGTAACTATAATTTGAAATGGACAATATATTATAATAGTATCGCATGATTTAAGACAATGATGTCGCTAATTGCCTTTGTTTGCAGACAACGATACTCCAGAAAGAAAGTCAAGTCGATTTGTGCTGACGCAAGAGAACAATTTTCTTGTCAAAGGATTACTATTTTTACAAGAATTCTGACATTTTGATGCTAATTTTGTCGGATAATTATTAGTTTCTGGACAATTGATTAATTATTATTACGTCATCCAAGAGTTACTTTACTGTAATAGATATGTATTTGTAAAAATGTAATTGTTTCTTGAATATATCAGATATATGGTAATAAAACGCAGAAGCAATATTCTGTTATTGGAATTTGAAATGTAGGCCACGTATAATTTATTTGATGCTCTCCTCTATCGGAATCAAAACGTAGAAAAAGTAAAACGCGATAAGAAAGTTAAAAGCAATATTAATAAGCAAAAAAAAAAAGATCACCTTCTTTTCTTTCTTTCTCCCTCTTTTTCTCTTCGAGTTCGATCGAATAAATATATAAATATAATACGATCTGCGAGGGAGAGACAGAATCGCAAACTCTCGCGGCGTTTCGCCCGCGAATAAATGTCACCACAATAAAGATCGAACGTGCTTATCGGGGGCGCAGGTACATATGATTCGAGGAGTCGACTGTGAAGAAAAACGAAGGGTTCACCGTCGCTGTCAATCACGATTTGTTGAGGGAAAAGCGTCTCGTAAAAAAAACGATGGGGAATTCTGGCGAAGCTGAGGTGCCGAGATATATCGGCGCGCCAGCGCTGAACCTGTCGGACGGCCGGCGTTTCTTCGGCGCGTCGCGACGTCGGCAGTCGCGATTCGACCGGCGTCCGTAACGGCGGTGTCGTACTTTATGCGAACGAACACTCGCCCGAGGAAAAACAAACCGCGGACAAGGCCGCGCAGGATTATTCTCAGAGTGAAGTCCCCACGTGCTCCCCCGTGCCCGCCTACATACACATGAGGAAGCTAAATAAAAAGCATTCCGTCAACACGAAAATTAAAAAATATCGGCTCGAATTGACATTTAAAAAATTATGCCGTGCCGTTCGCTTCGTTTCCGGTTGTTCGCTTTGTGAGTTTCGTGATTTCAAGCTCGTATACGCCTTAGTAATAAAGTAAGTGATAAGCGGGCTATCGTCCCGGTCGAAGCGAGCTTCCACAAGATAGATTGGAAGTGTAGGAAGACCTACTTACTTCAGTATATAAATCTTCAGTATAGGAATAGAAGCTATATATGTAATTTCCTTCGGCAACTCCTTGGAGGTGAAATTTCTAAATTGAATCGAAACAGAAGTTTCTTTCGCTTCTAAGTAAGAGAGGTCAATTTATTTGCGACAAACGAAACGGAACGGAAGAAAACTTAAATCGAAGAGAGAAAAAGAAGAAATTCTGCTTGCAGCAGAGCGAAACTTCATTAATCTCATGTGATGCCAATCGGCAGTGAAGGAGAAAGAAGGAACGTTCCGATTTCTTCGCTGCGGAAGAGAGTCTGCTTTCGCAAACGATCCAGAATGCTGAGGAGTGGACGACTTTCCAAGTTTGCCCGCATCAAGTGATCAGGATCGCGATGGCCCTCACGGCGGTGTCCATCCTGTCGAACGGCACTCACCTAAAAGCCAATCACGATGACGCCGTCCTGGCGTCGTCCTCGGAGTACTACGGAGAGTTCAACGACACGTACGAGGACATTCTGGAATCCTCGTTTATGTCGGCCGACTCGTATCGGGACTCTCTCTACGTGGTGATACCCGTGACCATAATTTACGCGGCGATCTTCCTCACGGGCATCGTCGGCAACGTGAGCACGTGCATCGTGATTGCGCGCAACAAGTCCATGCACACCGCCACGAATTATTATCTCTTTAGTCTGGCCGTGTCCGACCTGTTGCTGCTGGTGTCCGGCCTACCGGCGGAGATGTACATGGTCTGGTGTAAATACCCCTACATATTCGGGGAGGGTTTCTGCGTGCTGCGCGGCCTAGCCTCGGAGATGTCC